TATTTCCATATTTGAAACTCTATTACACAATACACGATAACAAGTTTACCATCATTTTTACACAATCAAATAACAATGTTGTACAGATGCAGGAAATGTGAAACAAACACCTTTACGTATCTTATTAGTTAAATAATGAGACTGTTAACATGCCTAAGAATTGAATCTGAGGAAATGTGAAAAAACAGCATAACTTCTAAAATAATGACCCGATAATGCTGATTTTCGAACTTGACCTGTGTTTTAGTGAGATTGATTACTCCTGTGAGTTTCATGACAACAGGCCTATCGGTTTTCCTTGAAATGTGTTAACAGTGTTGCATATATGTTAAAAAGTGAAAAAACAGCATAACTTCTACAATAATGGCCCAAACATGCTGATTTTCGAACTTGACCTGCGTTTTATGAATATTTATCAGCTCTGTAAATATAAAGCCAAAAAGTAAAACTGTCTTCCACTTATCATGTTAACGATGAAAGTGCACGGCGACGGCGACGACGACATCGACGGCGACAGGAACGGCGACGACAGACACAGGTGATGGCAATATGTACAGACACATCTGTGTCTGTACATAAAAATGTGCCTCTAATGTAATCTGTATGCTTAATATTCCAAAAAATCCTTGACAGGAAAATAATGGTGCATTAAATCACCTTTTAACTTTTTCTTTAAAAAAATTAAATCTTGACTGTAATAAAATGTGCACTTTATACACGCTAAGAATTTAAACTGTTCAATCTTCAATTAATAGATTCAGTAGGTAATCTTACACATTAAATTTCACACGTACTCTGCTAAAGTTAGTAAATTTCAACACTGAATATCCTTTGATGCAAACTGACACCTTACTTATATTTTGAAATAATCAAAGGTACAAAATTTTGAAACGATCTGGAGATTCAATGTCCTTTCTATATTCTCAGCAGCTGTAGACATCCTGAGCACCCTGTAACACATTAAAAGCCTATGGTACTAACTTTTACCACTCGTAAAATAACAAAAAGAAAAATGTAACTAACAAATAGCCCTTGCTATGTTCACTACTATATGGGTTGAATTAACAGGAATGTAATCTTATATCAACAGAAAAGGCATTACAATCATCAGTTTCAAACACTTCTCATTACTAAAGTACTTTTGGATCAACTACCTACAGAGATATGGAATGTCTTCACAATGGCACCAAGTAAAGCATAAGAACTATTTTACTGTGCTGTCACATATGTGCCTGTTATAAGCACTTACAAATATTGAGGATTGTAGTGTGAACAATCCATGCAAACATCGACCTAGATTCAATAAAATTACATCCAAGATCTCCAAGTGTGCTTGTGCTCATTTAAAGCACGTTGAGAAACAACAAAAATGATCCTACCATAAAGGGCTCCAAACAATTTAACCCATTCTCTAAAATAGTGCATTCTCCATATAGCAACATGTACAAATAAAATCTCCTATATATATTTTTAACGGCCTTTTTACTAATACATATGATTGATTATTGAACACAAGATGATGACAATATTAGATCTCTGTGGCCTTATCTCTGTTTACTTATATTTCATTTTTATAACATAAGAAAAATAACAAATGTCAAGTGCTGCTTCACCCTAAAATTTTACCCACAAAGAAAGAAGAGAAAAAAATCCCCATCTTGAAGAATTTTTGAACACCTTTTTCATTGTTGTTACCGCCACTTTTTCTCAACCTATGTGTGAATTTACTAAACCCTCTGTATTTCAAATAGCTTCACATCTGTGTCATACCAAATAGGAGGATCCACATTTCTGAAAAGGAAAAAAAAGTTCATAAACAAAGACCACTGACCAACCTTATTCTCCATTTCCAGTGCACTCAATTTTTTTACTTTTTAATGTGGCCAACTTTGAGGCACTTATATACAAGGTAACATTAATCTTTTTTTTTTTTTACCAATAGCTGTGTACAGTTTGTATAACAAACAGTCCAAGTAAGGCTCAGTCAGATTATGATTTTTTCTTTGGAAAATCTTAATATTTAACAAATTCCTGAGATAATGACTTGCAAATGAATGTACTACTATCAAAATCATTCAACGTTTTTCCATTGACACACTAAGGAATCACAACTCTGAATTTCAGTGAGTGTGCTACATGTACATACCTGAGGTATATGACTCCCCACATATAAGTACGGAACCACATGGTAGTACCACTGTTTGGCTGGTACTTCCTGATCAGTATAGGATGGGGCACAGGCAGCAGACCCACCAGGGTACCATGCTGGAGAAACTTGAGGATTTCACTCTCATCAGTTAGACCCCTATAACAAAAATATATAAACAACTCAATACAGCATATTACAATAGCTTAATGTTTGGGGGCCTAAGTCTTAAATTTCTGACAGAAAAGAATGGCAAATATAACTAATATTTGTTAAACTGATTGATGACTAACCTTTACACAGTTAGCTTTTCTCTATTTGGTTAAACATTTCTGCAAAAATAGTGACAATCTATTTAAAAACCTACACATACAGCCTCAGTGTGTCTTATTTTTCTTTTTTTTTTTTTCTTTTTTTTT